TCGATAACTGTTGTCAATGACTGAATGCAAATTTATTTCTGCATTCTTGAGGATTTTCGACGAGACAAGAAAATTTATGTTTTCAGTAAAAAAATGATCAAAAAGTATGCAACATTAAATCAAAGCTTATTGGATGAGAGAAAGTTTCAAACTGTTGCCGATGAATAAAGAAATGCGACAATCGTTGAGCATGTTCGGAATTTTGTAATAAATTTAGGGAAAGAAATGAGCCAATTGAAAACTGGAAGTCAACTGGTAGTTCTTTCTACTTTTTTACCAGCCGTTATTCTTGCTCTTCATTTCCTTCATATTTTCATACTAGTGGAATTATTTTTTCATTTTTTGAAAGAGTAGAAAATCGTATTTGGAATCATTATTGAAATTCATTAAAAAGTGGACTGAACGAAATGATTATCTTCATTGCTTTTCGCAACTGAATTTGTTTCTCAGGTATAACTCACATCATTTCAAACAAATTTCAATTTATAGAGCGTTTTTTGCGTACAACGCTTCTTATGCATTATCTTAAGGAATTTAAACGCCGTGCTGAAACAAATAAAATTCGAGAAAGCAGAAAATGATTTTCAGGATATAAATCTCATTCAGATTTGTGCGAACTGACATCACGATGTTTCAAAAAGAGGAATGAGTGTGTCATTAAATTGGACTTTAAATCAATATAATGGCTTGACAAATGAATTTAAATTGTTGCTTTCTCAAGAAAACATCATAACACTCATCGAAATTTCGAGTAAATATAAAGAACAAAAACCTTCAGGATTAATGTTATAATCGTTGTTATCACGTCTTGGGGGGCAAATGAATCGTCGCGTCTTGGGTAAATGCAATGTTTCTTGCACATTTAACTTTTCGTAATTTCACTTATTTCGGAACATTTATAAAATGAGTCAACTGAAAGGACGATTCTTCGCAGCATTACTAAAAAAACTCGTTTTTTTTCCCGAAGACTTTTTTTAAGATTGTTTTAATGATTTTTTTAATCGAAAAAAAGAATGATGCAAATGCGATGGCTGTTTTTCATGATTGAGCTTTTTTGTTTTAATAGTTGGATGGAAGCGAAACTTTAAATTATTTCTTAAAGTCAGATTTATATATAAAATACTTCAGGATTAATGTTATAATCGCTGTTATCACCGCAACTTTCTGAATTCTGCAAAGTATTACATTTGAGAAGGATGTAAGTGACTTTATCAATCCATCAGCATTTCATCATTTATTTCCACGCTTTTTATGAAGAAATCTTTTACATTTTCTGTTTGATGCAAAAAATGCTTTTTAAAATTCATTGAACTGAAAGGACGAACTTCTAGTCACATTAAAAGAAAATTTTTCATAAGCAGAAATTTGCCATTTGAGTCTGATCATGCTAATTTAAAATGTAGGAAGTGAAGCCGATGTTACTATTTACGGTCAAAAACTTATTAATGATTATTATTACCATGGTTGATTTTCTGATCATACAGCGAAATATTCAATACCATCCGCTTCTTCTATCTTACAGAGCCAATCCTCACTTTTGAGCACAACAGTCCGTTAATTGCTTCGTTGCTAACCGAGAAAACTTCAATTGAGTGCTTTAAGTTATTTGTATTATTTATTTTCTTGTCTTAACAAAGATCTTCAAGAATGCAGAAATAAATTTGCATTCAGTCATTGACAACAGTTATCGACCGGAGATATCTCTCATTTCTTGAAATTTTCACAATTTCATTTGTTTCGGTGAATTTATAAATTCGGACGACTTTTCGCGGCATTGATAGATGTTTTCATTGGCAATATTATTTACCGCATTACCATTGCTGTATTTCATTTACGGATTATTGGGCCATAAATTGACAATAAGTGAAATTGACAGAAAAGCGGTGTTAATCATCGGATGTGGAAACGGTGAGATTTGACAGAAACACATTATGGTAGGGAAATGACTTTGAATACTGATTGAAATGTTTAAAAATGGATCTAAAAAAGTGCATTGAAGAAGATATCAACTTAAATTCTCAATTGATGATGTAGAAAGAAGAAATAATTTCTATTCCGCATTGTAAAATAATTTTTCATTTGAATGACTTTTCACCTTTGCTTTGCTAGCTCGAACTGTATAAAATCTGCCCTAAATGATACTGTGAAAGGGGAACCTTTACAAATTATTCCGATAAATTTTTTAGCAAAACGATGCCACTTTAAATTGTAAAAAGTGCATTAGAACAGTTTACGTATTACTGTATTGAAATAAACAGAAAGTAAAAAAAAGCATGTGGAAAAAAACTTTTTTCATTATTTTGGCAATGCAATTTGGGCGCGTAAACAGCTTTATTTTCCAAAAGTAATGTACAGAATTTCAATTATTACGATTGGTCGATCAATTTTTTAAATTAATACATTATTAAGGACGCTACAGTAACGCATTTCAACTTTTTATGTTCGTTTATGATTTATGAAAGTAACTGCATTTGTTATTATGCACTTTACATTTCGTTTGTTTTACGAATCGAATATAACTCACTTTTCCAATATGTTTATTTTAATAAACTTAGTGGTTATGTTTCTTATGAAAAGTGATGAGGTTGAAATTTTTACTGGGATAGGTTTAAGAAATTCTACTATCTGATATAGAATGGAGGATGATCGCTATAGGGACTCGTGGGAGTTATTGAGTCCACCGAATAATTAGCTGACTTTGCTTTTCGAATTCCCTGGATGTAAATTTTTTGTCGTTATTGCTGGTAAAGGTGCTCCACTCAAATACATTAGAAATTTCATAACGTAAAGTTGTAAGCGCAACGGAAGATAAGAATATGGATAGAATCTGTAAGAAGACAGCAATTAAAATAATCATTACAGTAATGAATTTCAGTCTCTCAAATGGGACGGAAAGTCCAAGGTAAGTGTGCTATTTGTAACCAATATTTTCAAGATTTTCACTATTTCTCTTACTGTAAATACAATGATTACTTGAACAATGTATCCCAGCCAATTCGATACAAAAGTTTTGGCCGTCTCGCAACGATTGCTTCATAATAAGCATCGATAACCCATGTTATATCTTTTGTTAGCAACAATAATTGAAGATTTTCTCCATATGCTATTGCTGAAAAAATGCCGTTAGATTGGTTGTCGTAAATTATTTTGGTTGAGTAATTGGTGAGTCCCTGAATGTACAGCGGAATACCTTTCTCGTTGTAATCGTGTCCGTACTCATCATGCATTTCTTGAGATGCTCGGTGCCACAATGTATCAACTGATTTCCTTAACGTTTGTGGGGTACTGAATCCAGTTTTAAAGCATCCCGGAACAATCTCTATCACATCCACACCAAATGGTTGCAATTCATGCCTTCAATTCATCATTTTCTAAACATTTTCAAATTTCACCTAAAGACTTCAAGATCTTAAAAACGAAATGAAAAAGTGAGTAATTTGTTACCTAATAATGATACAATAGGATTGGACGGCAAACTTTGAGCAAGCATAAGGTGAGGATTCCACATCCGGTGATTGGTACCGCTTTTCTGTCAATTTCACTTATTGTCAATTTGCGGCCCAATAATCCGTAAGTGAAATACAGCAATGGTAGTGCGGTAAATAGTATTGCAAATGAAAACATCTATCAGTGCCGCGAAAAGTCGTCCGGGTATATAAATTCACCGAAACAAATGAAATTACGAAAACCTCAAAAAATGAAAAATTATTGTTAATGTTTTTGATCTGAGTTTATTCTTTGTGGAAAATTAGTGACAATTATAATGTTTTGATCATTGATAACTGAAGCAATCTTTTCGGAGTTTGAATAGGAATTGGCAAGAAATTAGTTAAGTGGCAGTTCATAAGAATATAGTTGGTGGTATTTCGCTTCATTTGAAAGCGTAAGTTATACTGAAGCATGTTCTTCCTGAGTTGAGCGGTGTTCGGTCAGCATTATTTGATCAGAAACTGCAAACAGTGATAACCTGAGAAAAGCTTTAGTACACATCTGTTCGTATGAGGTTGTTGCATTTGATTGCAGATATTCTTACGTGGGTTGCGGTATATACATTATAGTAAATATTGTCATAAAATTTTTCTTGATTTGGGAGAGCAGAGTACTATTCTACAATAATTACAATTGAATAGATTTATTCGAAAGTAGATCGGAAATATTGACAATAAACCATCGTTTATTCCTAACGATTGATTTGTAGAGAGACACACAACATCTCGTTTTTTCGGGAGAGAATGTCAGTTGATCTATGAGTATATATAGTGTCCAACGTATATATAGTAACTATGTCCAACCAAGATAATCATTTAGATTTATAGTATATCAATAGAGATATGTGTGATAAGACAGGTAACGTGCAATTACACATGGGATAGATCGGTAGTAGGCAATGTGGTGCGATGAAGAGAAAGAAAGAAGCGATGGAAAAAGAGGAGATTGTGTGATTGCCCGTTAGCTACATTTATTGTTATATATAAAAAGAAAGACAGAGAACATTCAATGGCGGGAAATGTTGGTGAGCAATAACTGTGAATGACATTCGAGCAACAAAAATAAAGAATATCTGTAAGAGGAAATTAAATTTAAAGTTGGCCAAAGGTTGTGGAGAGTGACTTCGTTAGCTTAACTGTCGCTTATGCAAAATCTCTGTTCGTTTGAGTAATTTTGTATCACAAAATTTCGGCTTTCCCAAAATATGCCTTTACCATTGTTTTTTTCCAATGTATAGGTATTTTGAATGATTGAACGTAAAACTTTGCATTCTTCAAGATCTTCATTTCACAAATGGTCAAAGAGTAAATGATGTTGAATTAGAGCCTAATCAGATGAGAGACAGTTTAAAACTATTGAAGATGAGGAAATAAATAAAATAATTGCACACATTTGTTTAATGAACGAATTTGGGAAGAGCGGTGTTAAGTAGAAGAGAAACGATAATTCATACGACATCTCTTTCCATTCTTGTTTCCCTTCCTTTTGTTTTATAAACGAAGCGATACATGCACAAGAAAGCTCTGTAAATTGAAATTTAATTGAAATGATGAGTGTTATACTTGAAAAAGAGTAATTCAATTGCGGAAAGCATTGACAAATAATCATTTCCCTCATCGCTCAATTTTAATCAGTTTCAACAATCTTCTACTTTTTCAGAAAGCCGAAAAAATTCCATCAATGTGAAAGTATGAAACTATGAAGGAAATGGGAAAGAAAAACAGCAACTAGAAAAAGGCCAATTAATTGACTTCCAGTTTTCAATTCGCCCACTTTTTTTTCTAAAAAAAATTTGCTCAGTCATTCATATTTCTTTATTTGTCAAACTGTTTTGAAACTTTCTCATCTGATTGGGCTACGATTTAATGCTGCTTTCTTTTTTCATCTTTTTTTATTGAAAACATAAATTTTCTTCAAAACAAAAACTTTTAAGAATGCAAAAATAACATTCAACAATTCACAGTACCTATCGATCTGAGCAGATTTATTTTCCTCATTTTTGAGATTTTCGTGATTTCACTTTTTCCGGAAAATTAACAAGTATTTCCGCGGCATTGATGTTTTCACTGGCAATACTATTTACCGCACTACCATTGCTGTATTTCATTTACGGATTATTGGGCCGCAAATTGACAATAAGTGAAATTGACAGAAAAGCGGTACTAATCACCGGATGTGGAAACGGTGAGGATTTTTGTAGTCGGAACGTTAATTGTGATGTTCGGAATAGTTCACGAATGGGATGATTTGAAGAAACAGACAAAGAATCATAAAAGAGTTTGAAAGAGAAGAAATAATTTCCAGGATTTGGCAGAGATTTAGTAAAACGATGTCTTCAGAATGGCCTAACAGTTTTTGCAGGATGCCGTCGTGCCATTGTATGCTTCTAAATTATCCAAACATTTCCTAATCATTTTTATTTGATTCGTCAGCTGTGGGAAAATAATTTCTCAAATTAAAGAAAAAGTTTTCATTTCGCTGCTTTACATGGAATAAAAAAATCGCTAATTAGAATTCATTTCATTCATTCAATATGTTTCATTTGAAAGTTTGCAGAGTGTAAAAGAATTAGAGGAAAGCTACAACTCAATCAGCCAAGGTCGATTGTATGCATTTCAAATGGATGTGACCGATGACGAGAGCGTTCGAAAATCGAGAGAAATTGTGGACAGGGTTTTAAAGCAAAAAAATCTCGGTTTGCATCTCTGTCAT